AACCGGCACCGCCAATTTCCGCTCGCCGCGGTTTTCCCTGGGCCTCCACAAACCGCCGCCACCACCTTCTTCCCTTTCCCAAGGCCTCCGGCTCCGCCCGCATTTTCGCTGCCTTGCGTCCTCCTTGTCCCGCGCCCCTCCACTGCCACGCCGTTTGGGACCCACCACCTCCGCGCCGGTTTCTCTGGGCCAAGCGGGGGCGTCACGCTGGGCCCTTTGCTTGCTTTAAGGGTATAGAGAAGAGATATATATATTCAAGTGGACCCGCCGCAGCGATGCTGCGATCGAGGGGAGAGGGAGGGGGAGAGAGGGGGAGAGAGCCATGCACGTGGGAGGTAGAGAGAAGGCGGAAGACGAGGGAAGACATCTTGATGTGTTGTGACAGGGGGCACCCAAAGAACAAAGGGGATGATATATTGATATGATGTTACAGTCGGCCGTCAAGAAAGAAAGGAGACGAAACTCGTTTGTAACTGTAGGAGATCGTTGGACGCGATTCATTTGTTCTCCTCCCCGGTGCTTGTCTTTTTTCTTTTCCTCCTGCCGAGTCCCCTTTCAGCCTTCCGTCCTGCTGATTCTTCCCCTCTCCTTCTTGGTTTTAACCTTAGTTCTCTCGAAATGTTGCGTGCTTATGCCTTTCCCAAGCGACGTTTCGATATTCCTTTTGTTGCTCTGTCATTTCTCTTAGTGTTTGCCTGTCTTGATGAAGCGACGCTCCTCTATGCTGGCCGGGGTCTTGCACTTGGAGATGATAATGTCTTGATGGTCGAAGTCGTCTTGCGTGGTAGTGTGGAGTTGATGCACTCAACGTATTGGCGGGGWAGCTCGGACTTGGAGGTATGCCACGGCTTGTCGGATGATATCTATGTGATATGCAGGATGATGATGTTTTGATGGTCGAAGTCGTCTTGCGTGGTAGTGTGGAGTTGATGCACTCAGCATCTTGGCGGGGAAGCTCGGACTTGGAGTTGAGCCACGGCTTGTCGGAGGATATCTATGCGATATGCAGGGAAAGGTGGTAGAGGGATTTGCGGTTGTTGGTGGTGGAGCATGACGAGTTCGTTGAAATATCCCCATGTACGTGGTGGGTAGGGGATGTTGTACTTGGTGAATGTGTGGCGGGATGCAAGGATGTCGTGGACTGTTGCGGTGGTGCGGGTTTGTCCCTAGGGCTCGAGCGGGCGCCACCAGTGTGGGTCTGTTTCAGTAGAGCAGGGAAGGAGTAGGGGTGGTGGTGGCGGTGGTGTGGATGCGATGAATGTACATCGGTGGTGGGCGGCCGTGATGCGGAGGTATTGGTATTCAAAGCGGTCGGGCCGGGGGAAAGGAAGGTGGGTGTGGTCGTCGTTGATGATGCGTAGAAGGAATGATTTCGCCTGAGCAAATCTTGTGTTTGGGGAGGGGGAAGGCGGTGGGCGGCATAGTCTGTGTGTGCGAGTGTCTTTGTAGATAGCAAAGAAAGTGTAAAGATGTGGGGAGAAGGTTGCATGGTTAGTAGTGAGGAAATCCTCCCACGGGATTTGATCAATGATGTGTAAAGATGTGCGGGAGTGGTGTGTGCAGGTGACAGAGTTGTAGCAGTTGCAGCTTGTCATGTTCTAGGAGTCGTTGTTGAGGTCTTCGTTTTTTTGGGAGGCGGGATATTTGCACGGGAACCTGCAAAACACATGGCGGAAAGGGATAGTAAGTATGCGGTGTCAGACGATTTCTTTGTAAACAATGTTGTTTGTTTGATTGTTAGGAGAGGGCAGGGAAAATCGGATGTGTGCAGGGTCGTCGACTCGAGATGCGGCGACGTATAGTTGGCAATGTGCGAAGGTTGATTGCTGCAGGTCTATTCCTGCACGTTTGATGGACTGGCCTTGTGATTTGTTGATTGTGATAGCAAATGTGGACCGCACAAGGAACTAATTTCTTGGCCACGGGAAGGGAGTGATTTGGTCAGTGACGGAGAGGAGGATGCGAGGGAGGAGAACAAGTTCGAGCGATGGAAGTTTTTGGGCATGCAGGAGTCTGTTGTTTGTAATGGAGTTGACAATTAGTCGTGTACCGTTGCAAAGGCCGTTTCGCATTGCGATGTTACGCAAAAGGATGGCTTGTGCGCCTTCTTTCACACGGAGCATGTGAGGGGGGAGGGAGGGGATGTCGATGGTGTTGAGTGCATCAATAGAGATGTCGGGATATTGATCATTTGGGAGGAGAGAGTCTGAGTTAAGCGACGTCATGGAAGGTCCGGGGAACTGGTCGAGGATGACATAGTTTAGTGTTGCGACAATTTTGTTTTTGGGTGATAGTATGAGACGGTCCGCGAGCCATTGCGGGTTTCAGGCATTGGTTTGGAGGTCGGGGAAGTTCATTGAATGAGGTTTGGGATGCCAGAATGGAGGCAGAGGTGTGCGGGAAGTTAAACAGTTGTTGGCGTTGTGTTCGATGGAGGTTGGAATGTGTCATTGCCGAGTTCAAGGAGCCATTGAGCGTATTCATGGCCTTCGGTGGTATTGACTTGGGTCAATACACGCATATTTTCAGAGAGGCGGAACGTTTCAAAGTGATCCCAGAGGTGTGATGTTTTTATGTAAGCGTTTATGGTATGTGCACGTGTGCCTATTGTTATGACTGGGAGGATTTGTCTGAAATCACCCGCGAGAACAATGATTTTCCCACCGAATGGCAAGTCCGATGAGCAAATGTCTCGCAATGTTCGGTCAAGTGCTTCGAGGTGGTGCTTATGAATCATGGGTGCTTCATCCCAAAGGATGACAGTGGCCATGCGAATGAGGTCAGCGAGAGATGATTGTTTGGATATGTCAAGTACAGATGTAGCAGTTGGAGTGAGCGGCACTTTGAATCGTGAATGGAATGTGCAACCTCCATCAAGAAGTGTCGCGACAATACCGCTGGATGCAATGACAAGTGCAACGCGATTTTCGTTCCGAAGGAAAGTAAGAATGGTGTTGAGGCAGAAGGTTTTGCCAGTGCCAACGGAAGCGTCGATGAAAAGGCAAAGCGGGAGGGCATTCATAGCGGCGTATAGAATGCGTTGAAAGATGGCGTGTTGCGAAGACCGAAGAAGCGGGAGATTTGTTGCGAGCGTGCGTTGCAGTATTGTTGGTTTGTCATAAGAAATTTCATCCTCGATGACTCGAGGAATGTGAGGCATGTTAGGGCGTTGAGCGTGGATGTCGACATTGTTGCGAGCGTGTTCGTCAGGTGCAACGAGGCCGACGTCTTCAAGGTCTTTGCCTTCTTTTTGAAGACGATTTTCGATATCAATGAGCACCAAAGTTTTGAGTATGGAGCTAGCGATTTGTGGCGGCCGGAGGTATCTCTGGAAATCATCAACCATTTGTTCGTAGTGTGTGTCAAAGAGTAAGGTAGGATCAGCGGGGGCGCAGTGGAGGAGAATGTGAACAAAAAAATCTCGGACCGTCGGTGAAGAAGCTGTGAGGATCGCGGCACGAAGCACGACATCAAATTGTGTGTTGTCGTTGAGCAGACCAAGTGCGCGACAGACAAATTGGTAAGTAGGGTGAGTAAGGTGATCAACAGTACGGAGCTGCTCGAAAGTAGTAGCACCTCGAGAGTGCGGTGATTCGAGGAGCATTCGAAGGTAGAAAGTGTCACCTGCATTAGGGTGGATCGCGTGCATTGGGCCGATTGTGTCTGCAACGCGGCGGCGGAGAACCCAATGTTTTGTTTGTTTGTCAAATCGAAATCTCTTGGTCATGTCTTTGTAAAGTGGTTTATTCTCAGCGGCGATATTGATATTTTGAAGATTCCATTTGAACCATGCAGTGAACTCGGTTTCGGGTGGCGGGTCTCGCGCAATGCGGTTTGCTTGGTGTTGGCGAAAGAATACACGTTGGCGGTTTTCGGTATGAACAGGCAGTGCAGAGACGGCAGGGTAGCGATCAGAGAGCGAGAACTCAAAAATTCGCCAGCATGCTTCGGCAACACCTATTGTTCGCATATCTTGGTATACTTGTATTTCATCGTCGGTGTTTGTCATCTGGCCAACCATGGCGCGGTCGGGACCTTTCATAATGTATTCAAACATATATCGGTATGCAATTGTGGAAGCGCACACCTCAATGTTTAGGTGGCATCGATAGCGAAGAAGCAAGAGGCGGTTATATGGGACAACCCACGAGTTGTCGATGTCGCCGTTTGGTTGGTTGCCAGTTCCCCGCCTCCAGTTGGCGAGCGGCGTCGGTAGATAGGATAGCCAGTGTCCTCGTCCCATGTGGTGGAGCTGGAGAAATCTTTAGGAAAGTGGTGAACACAATGATCGTTGAGCATGCAGGGTGCTTGCATGTTTCATTCACTGCATGGATTATCATATGTGTGAGCACAAGGTCTTTAAATTGCGGATTTGTGAGAATTTCAGCGATAACGATAAAATCTATTTGTTCGGGAGTGGAGATTTTGTGACCTTCAACGAAATGTAACAACAACATGGGCGTGTGGAAGGCCTCTTTTTTAAAATTCGATTACATTTATATATGCTGTTGTGGGGCCAAATATATGTGTAAAGTGAATGTCGTGGATGAGCTGTCGGAGGTAACCTTTAAAAACGCGTGCGAGCAAGTGGGGTCTGTTTGACGGCTGTTGGTTTGCGAATAACTCATTTTGTATTTCAGGCCAGTGTGAGTTACACGTTATTGTGATGAAGAGATCGGGCTGGCCAAATTCTTGAACCGTCGCCATAGAATCTTGGTAGTGTCGATGCATGTCTCGCGGACCACCTGTGAATGTCCCGGGAAGAATGATACATTGTCCAATGTTTTCTATGTTGTCATATTGCAAGAGGTGATCACGGAGGTTTTGGTAAAGTTCAGCGCGGATCTCGGTTTGATGAAGCCGGTTGTACAGGAGACGACCGTGCTCAAATTTAGCAAAAGGCATACATACGTATTCTTGGAATAGTCGTGATGCACGAAATAGAGTTGTGCGTTCGGTGGCACGTGTGTTCTGGTGAAATGTGTGAAATTCACATGCAGTGATTCGAGAGATGGTGGCATCGTTGTCGGCATCTGTTCCCGGTGTCCAGCCGTCCTCGCCAGAGGGAAAGAGAAGGACATAGTGCTAAGGATCAAAGCCGCGGTTGGTGTCAGCGATTGGAAAATGCCACCGTGGCGGCGGCATATGATGATTTCGCGGTTCATGGGTTCGTCGGTCATAAACAAGCAGAGTTCACAGAGCCCTTCAGGTCGGTTGTACCGTCTTTCATGTTCATCAGGTGGACGAACATCAGGATTGTTAACAATGTGACAATTTTGTATGAGGTCATTGGGAAGTTCAGAGACGGTTATAAAATCACGAACCCAAACGTTACAGCAACAAAGCAACCGATGGAGTTTTCGGAGTAGATGTTTGATTTCCAGAATAGTGGTCAGCGACATATCATGTGGCAGATCAAGGTGGTTGAGTCGAAGGAGAGTGACACCGCGGTCATCCTGCGGATCATAGATGTAGAGTTGCGCGAAAGCAATGGGCTGTCCCGGGTCGGGAATCAGCGGGCCAAGGTTTCGTTGCATATGGCTAGCAATTTTGAGCGTTCCTGGCCAAGGGGCAGAAGGTGGTTGTGGCTCTCTGACGACAACGGCATCGCTCTCAGTTTCGCGTCGTGAGGACGATGGAAGTGACGAGGCGCACAACAGAGGCGGCACGAACTCTAACGCTCGCAGATGGCCTTTGCTATCTCCAGCAGAGCGTGACACATCAGTTTGCTAACTTCGTCAGACGCTGCGTAGTGTGTTTTTTGCACTTCGACCCCCGCTTCCAACGCCTCGTCGGATTTGGATGGAGCACTGACGCTTGTTGTTGCTCTCCATCGTCGACGCCACCAGAGCCCCGTGCTTCTCCATGCATTCCGTCAGCTCTTCGAAAGTTTGCTGCCTCATGCTCTTCCTCTTGCCGAAACCAGCAGGGCTTCTCGTCGTCTGAGAAGAACCTCTCGTCGACCCGTAGTCGTCATCGTCGTGCCCTGCAGCAGCGTCCCCATCGCCCACAGATTCATGATCCGCAGAAGTGGCGGACCGAAGACACACACCACCCGGAGCACCAGTGTCGGCGACGTTCTTCGGGTTTATGGTGTGGCTCTTGGCGGTCGACCCCAGGATCTCGTCGTAAACCGCACGATCCATGTTGAAATTGAAGCCCTTCGACAACCTTTCTTTCCCAGAGAATTGGAAGAAGTCCTGTTTCCCGGACAAGCCTTGGAAGTGATGCACCTTCTTGAACTGCTGCATCAAATTGTCCCACTTCCTCCCGCACCGTTCTGCTTCTCTGTCGACGCCCACCTTCTTCAACCTCTCCACATCCAACCACTTCCATTCTCGCAGCTTCATACAAGCGAAGGCGGTACCCATCCCCTGCAGATGCACGACCTGGTCACGTTTAGCCCGGATGAGGGCCATCATGTCGTCCACGGACGAGAACTGACGACCTTCTGCATCAGCATCAGCTTCGGCATCGCTCCCCTTCCCCACCGCTTTTTTCCCCCGAGGACCATTGCGAGCACAATCCCTCATCTTCCCGCCCCTCCCTCCCATGCTGCTTTGCTTGCACGGCGATACGTGGCCTGCGTCCTCCTCCCCACCTTCGCCGTCGTCGTCGTTCCACTCCTGATCGTCCGCGCGCGCCGCAGGTGCGTCGCCGTCGTTTTCGTGGTCCCCCACACGCAGTCGCTGCACCCCCCGAGTTATGGATTCCTCCCGCTGTGGATGAAGCGTCCGTCGCTGTTCTGCCCACACCTCCCTCCCGTCGCGTGCATCACCAACATCTTCGATGCCACAATCAGTCTCCCTGCATTCGCCTTGACAGCAGGCTGCAGTCGAACTGGTGGACAGGGGAGAAGGAGATTGCATTCACGGGGGGCGAGCAGAGGCACCCCTAGACACAGACGACGTTCGGTATTGTTGCCTCGGAGGATCCCTGTTGTTCCCCGACGCCTCCCGGACCGGCGCTGGAGACTTCGATGACCGCGCAACAGCCGTCACCTGCCCGCCGTCGTCATCGAGATGGTTGTCGACGATCACCGTTCGCGAGGCGACCGACGACCTCCCGCTACACAGCTCGAACGACAGATTGATGCCACCATCGCCCTCGTCGCCACTCAGCCCCTGCTGGAGGAGTTGGGTGTACGATTGGCCATAACCGTCGTCGCGGCTTCCACAGACCTCTGTAGCCGCCCACTCCTGGGTGGACCTGCTTCACAGCGGCACGGTCCGTGACTGTCTGTCCTCCGCCTCCTCGTCGGACGTGTCTGGCAGAGGCTGCAGGTGCGCATACCCAAACTGCTCCGACGGCCTTGAACTCCTCGACAGGCTCTTCCCAGCCCGCTGGCCACCACCCTGATCCCCTGCAGACTTGCGCATCCCCTGTCGCCCCTCCATACTGACGTCCTTCTTCGAAGACCGTATCTGCGGCCACGTCGCGGAATGATACCGAGGAAACGCATGCGGAAGACAACTAAGAGGAGGAGCAGGAGGATGACCAGCACCAGCAGCGGCAGCCTCCGAAAGACGTCGGCCATGAAACGCACGTGGACGACGCCAACAACTAGAAGACAACCTTGGACGTCCAGGAAACGGTGAGGGTCACTGGCGGAAACGGCCGATCGCAGCTACCGACAAAAGCAGGGTAATGTATTTCGTCGAGGAAGACACTGCACAATCGGGAGAGCGGGGGCGGGCTGAAGTATTCGAATCTGCCGACTGTTGGGCGCTTTCCCGCTACTGCCGAAGGGCAGCGACGCAAGGCAGCCCCTTTTCCACGTTGCGGAGGACGACAGGCTGCCAAAGGGGACCGTTGGCGGAGTATTCCATGACGCCGACCGTTGCCAACCGCAGATGTTCGTCCACAGGCCGCCAGGAACAACAAAAATTGTCGTCGAGAGAGCTGCAGTCGACGCCCCGATTCTTCCTGATGCTCGACCTCCGAGGGACCTCGGGAGGTCCCTCGGGGAACGCGTCGAAATGGCTGTAGCCTGAGGAATCCCCTAGGAATCCTCGAGGAAATGTTTTCACATTTTTCTTCGTTTTCTTCCCTGAGGATATGTGGAACGATGATTTCCTCGGGAATTTTAAGTGCTCGAGGAGTGTCGAACACGCCCCACTGACGTGGAGAATTTCTGCGAAGTAAGTTCAGTGGAGCGTAACCCTAACAGGTCTCGTCGCTATTGTCCTGATTATGGGCAGCTTTCAAGGACCAAAGTTGTTCCTTATAGTTTTAGGGAATACTCACACTAGCACTTTCAAAAATGCATCTGACTGCAAGTACGGCCAGACCTGCACGAATCTGACTGCAATAACGTCCAGAGCCTTGTAAAGAAGTCCTAGTGTGAGTATGCTCTTAGTCATTTCACCAGATCCTACAGTTCAGTCCTCATTCTGGGAGACTACACTTCATGGGCATAAAATAACAAACAGGGGCACTGGGTTGAGTGCAAAGACGGAAAGTAAACAGGTTTGGTGAATGTTACTGTCAGTTTTCGATGCAAAACTGCTGCCCTAAATTACTGGCAGCTTTCATCGACTCCAAGAAAGTACCTTAGGGTCTTGAACCACTGGCATCTCTTCTCATCTCTTCAGAGATATTCTCCGAAGAGATCTAAGTACGGCGCATGTCCCATAATGGATTGGGGGGCTCCACCTACCGGCCCTTTCTGGGCTATTATGAAAATCGCGCCCCGCAACATAGGTAAGGGTTTCACCCCCGATCCCCCGCCATGGAGATCCCCGACCCCACACGCCGCCATTTGACCCCCGCACCCCGCCCCCGCGCCCACCCTCACCCTCGCCATTTCACCCCGGTGCCTCCGCCCCGAGCCCCGCGCCCACGCCGGCGCACTCGCCATTTCACCCCGGCGCCGACCCCTCCCCCCCCCCCCCCCGGCCCCCAGCCCCGCACCCCCGCCCCTCCCACCACACGTCCCCGCCCTCGGCGACTCACCCAGGACCACCCTGGTCCCTCCAGTGGTGGGTGTGGCCCCGAGGGGGGTACGGGGTGGGGCACAAAAACCCATTTTGGGGGGTTAGTCCACGGGGTGTGCGCTCTCGCTGTGCAGCCCCCACTTTTTTTTTTTTTTTTTTTTTTTTTTGGGCAACGGGGGCTCCGGAGCTGGGGCCAGGGGTGCCCAACCCTTGACTCCCTGACCCCCAGACCCTCGCCCAGGCCCCGGCGCCGGGGCTCGACAACCCTGGACAGAATCACAGTCCTATGCATTGCACTCTCTTCGAGGAAATACTTGGCCAAAGAGATGACCAGTTTCCTTCTGTACTTTAGGGAATGTACTTGTAGGCCCAGGATGAGGTCTGCCACAGATGAGCTAAAGTAACTTGCAGATAAGGTAGGCCCGAGGCGCAAAATTTTCGGTGTAGGCGGCAAAACTTTTCAGCAAGGCTGGGGCCGTGTACTGGGGGTTGAAGGATCATCTTTGTGTCACAGAGCATGGAACCCATCATGTCAGCTATGCTCAATCAGGGCGACCATTTTAAGGACCACTTCCAGTTCCATAAGACCTACTCAACCTTCCAGTGTTCTATGGGATGGGTACATACCGCTATGAGTGGATGAGTATATCCACCACAGAACCCATCACCCATGCCAGAAAGCCAGCCGTCATGCATTCTGCGGCAGCTCAACTGCTGTATGGGAGCACTGGACCATCTTTAAACTGCCAGCACCTCTCTGCGTGATTTGCGAAATCAATTTGGCTGTTTTGCTGAACTGCCCCATGCGGCCAACTGGGATGACTATGCGGCCTCCTTGTGCTCAGCTGAAAACTTTGGGTTGCCTTGTGCCCAAAGTGGTGGTTTAGCACGGGGCATTCAGCCCCAGAGTAGGAGGATTATCCAAATGTGAAACTAGTAGAGTCATTTCAGATGGTCCAAAAAAGATGTTATGCACATTTAGCTTGTCCGAAATAAAAAACAAAAAGTCTCTCTCTCTCTCTCTCTCTCTCTCTCTCTCTCTCTCTCTCTCTCTCTCTCTCTCTCTCTCTCTCTCTCT